GGCCCAAGTTTCTAACCCCCCCCCACCCCCACAGGCCGCGTCTGCATGCTCGCCGTGCTCGGCATGCTCGTCAGCGAGCAGGTCACCCTCCCGTTCTACACGGACGCCCCGCGCCTGGCCTCCGACATCCACGCCTGGGCTGTCAACCAGGGCGCCATGGTCCAGCTCCTATTCTGGGTCTCCTTCTTCGAGGTCATCGTCGGCGTCCCCGCCCTCGTCCAGATGATCTCCCTCGACTCGCCGCGCAAGCCCGGCGAGTTCGCCTTCGACCCGCTCGGCCTCGGCAAGAACCCCACCGCCTACGCCAGATACCAGCTCTCCGAGATCAAGAACGGCCGCCTGGCTATGATCGCCATCGGAGGCCTTATCCACCAGGAGTGGATGACCGGCCTAACCCCCATCCAGCAGCTTACGCAGGGCAAGTTCTTCCCGTAAGCGGCCGCACCGTGCCGTCGCTGTTTTGCTGCCTGCTCAGTTTTTTCTACCTTGCTTCTCGTAGCCTCTCCTGGCATCTTATTTCTCCATGGGAACTGTAAACACACTTGTCTGGTCCCATCTCTCTCCATTGCATTTCATCTATGTAGAAACCCCCCCGACAGAGCGCGACCTTGACGCCCCCCAACTTACTGCTGCTTTCTTCTTTTCGAAACTGACGGGATAATACGCTCCCCACACTACATACAACATAAAGCGAGCTGTTTTTGCTAATGATTTCCATCGCAGCGCAAAGACTGACAGGGTCATCTCAAGAGATCTAAACCCAACTCTTCACCCATTGCCGATACTCTAGCATGCACAAAACTCGCTCTTGCCCATTTACCACCTCATATTCCATATTCATCCTACCCAAAATTTCATCATCTCGATCTGCAAGGAGCCAGCCACTGTGCCGTAAATTATCTGACCAAGGCAAAACGTTGCTCTCCTCGACGCCAAAACTTATCCGCACAGTGACCCCCGAGTATCGTGCAGCGTATCAGCCTTCAATACCGCGCAACGAGCTCTACTGACGTCTACGGGCGGAAGCATCACCTCGATCTGCTCCAGGGGCCGAAAAGAAAAAAAAGGTAAACATGGCCGCGGAGAAGCCTTTAATCGTCATCCTCGGCCTGGGCGAGATGGGCCTCATTCACGCGCGCAACTTGTCGAAAGAGCGCCGTGTTCTGCTCGGCCTGGCTTCGAAGCGGAAGGAAGTGCTCGACAAGACGGCGGCGGAGCTCGCGGCCGACCGCACCTATTCTTCGTTCGACGCCGTGTTCCAGGACTCGCAAGTCAAGGGCGTCGTGATCGCTACGCCGCCCCCTTCCCATCCGCACGTCATCAAGCAAGCCGCGGAGGCCGGCAAGCATATCTTCTCAGAGAAGCCGCTCGGGTACGACTCGGCTTCAATCAGGGATGCTCTCGACGCGGTGGAAAAGTCCAGCGTGCGCTTCACCGTCGGGTTTAATCGGCGGTGGGACCCGGACTACATCGCAGCGCGCAGAGCTGTGGAGGCGGCAACTCTCGGTGACCCCGTCGTTCTCAAGTGCACATCGGGCGATCCGGAGTACCCGGAAAAGTATCACCGCGGGGCAGCGAAACATGCCATGCTCAAAGATCTGGCCGTTCACGACATCGATCTCGCGCGATGGCTCACTCGCAGTGAGGTGAAGCGAGTGTATGCCATCTGCGACGCGATTTCATACCCCAGCTTGAAAGAGAACCAAGATGCCGACGTCACGGTGGCCATCCTTGAGATGGCATGCGGAGCGAAAGTGATATTGCACCTCAGTCGCGCGTTCCACTTTGGATACGATGTGACTACCGAGCTGTTTTGCAAGAAAGGCGCCATGCAAATTGGGCAGCTACATGACAACGCTGTGGTGACCGTCAAAGACAGGACGAGCGCACTCAAGGTGGTATGGGACTTTGGGGAACGCTTTCGAGTATCATTCACGCGCGAAATGGAAGGGTTTGCGGCGCTGGTGCTCGCCGAAACGGCGGAAGATGCGGCCGCCCTTGTAGCCGGTGATTCCAGCTACGCCTCAGGCGAAGACGGGCTGGCTGCAACGGTGGTCGCAGAAGCGCTCGTGAAATCCTACCTGAGCGGTATGCCGGAAGTTGTGGCCGAGAGAGGAACAGAGTAAAGCAATAGATTTGTAGAGAAAAAAATGAGGCAGCTTGCCAGTAGGAACAGGTGATTGAAAAATGTATGTACAATGTTTGGTACAGTACGAAGAAATAACTTACTACTAACAGACATAACGCACGACACGACACCAGATGAAGGATGCGCGAATGTCACCTACGCTACCTGACGTAGCTGCACTCTTGGATGCCGAACCACAGCACAGGGTTACGGCAATAGTAACAAAAGTGACGGATTTGAAAAAAAGAAACCGTGCACGTAAACAAACTATTCCACAAGGCGCTGGCGTAGCTCTTATGCAGCGCGGGAAAACAAAAACAAAGAAAGGGAGCAAGGGCGGGTGCGGGGTGGATCCGCAGTCAGGACCAAGCGCACGGGGTCATGGATCAAACGGGGTAAAGTTGAGCGGGGATACGTTAAGAAACGGGCTAGCGGCACAGCCCTGCTGCAGGCGATATTGCATGAGGCTGTAGCATCCCTTGAGATGCAGAGCGGCTCCGAAAATGACAGCGATGTGCATGAGCTGGTGGCTTGCGAAGAAGCGGTCGTGCTTGCCGACTCTGCAGCACTCTGGAAAGCGGGAAACATAGATGATGGCGCCGACAAAATATGTGCTGAGGGCGGACATGGCGGACATGAGGGCGGTGGGGAAGCGATCCGCGACCCAGCGGTGGTGCATGCCGGCGTGGATGATGGGGAAGAAGACGCAGGCGCCCAGAGCGCAGAAGATCATGGTGCGGAACGGACGGGCCTTCGGGGTGGAGAAGCCCGGGGCGAAGATGGCGGCGACCGTGACGGTCTCCGCGATGGCGATGTTCCAGTAGTAGCGGCGGGCCAAGTGCGGGGCGCAGTAGAAGATGTAGAAGATGCCGGACAGACCGTGGCCGCAGCACAGCAGCGAGATGCCCAGGAAGTCGAGCTTGGCCAGCAGGCGCAGGGCGACGGGGCTGTATACCCAGAAGGCGTGGTAGACGGTGGAGGCGAGCAGGCACAGGCAGGCGGCGATGAGGAGCGGGAGGATGCCGTTGCGGTGGTCCTTGAGCAGGGTGGACACGGCGTGCTTGAGTGCGGGCAGGTCGTGCTTGCGGGAGGGGAGGCAGACGGTGGGGAGGCCGAAGCGGCGGAGGTGGTGGTGCGAGAAGACGGCGGGGAGGCGCGGGAGGTGCGGCGAGCGGGCGGCGAGCGAGGAGGCGGCAGGCGGGCAGGCCGGGGCCAGGTCCGGGAGGTGGCGCATGGCGGACGTGAGCGGGCCCGCGAAGCGCAAGGTCAGGACAAGGAAGACCAGGAAGCCCAGGCCGTGCGACCAGACGTTGATGGTGTCGTTGTTGAGCGAGAAGAAGGCCGAGTGGAAGCAGGCGCGCAGCGACGGCAGGTGCGGGCGGTACGCACCGGTGAGGTAGTCGTTGTCGCGCATCCAGGCCGGCAGCTCGCGCAGCGTGAGCAAGCGGTGGTGCCGCGGGCGCGGCGCGGGCGCGGGCGCGGGCGCGGGCGCGGGGGGGGAGGCCATGGTAGAGGGGGGGGGAGAGGGAGGGAGGGCGGTGGTGCGGAGAGGAGACGGGTGAGGGACAGGCGGGCGAGGGAACGAAAAAGGAGCACCGGTCAGCAGAGGCGGTTATAAGCGGAAGGCGCGACACGTGTCGGGGCATTTCGCGGAAGGCGGCCAGGGCGGCCGGAATCTCGGCGGGCGTGGGCGAAGGGGGAGCAACGTCACCGCACAAACGGCAATCTCCACAATCACCCCCTCCTCGCCTCCGTAACCGCCTCCCTGTCCCCCTCTGCCCCCCTAGAACCGCGCCGCGCGCACTGCCAGCGCGTTAGCGTTACAGTGGAGAGAGGCCGCCAGCGGCGGTGTGTGCGCAGGCAGCGGAGGTGCGGCGGGGCGACGGAGGGCGCGGCTTGCGCGGACGGGGGTGGTGGGCAGTATCGGTGACGCGGGGGACGCGGGGGACGCGGGGGAGGGGAAACGCCGCTAGTTATGGGGGGGATGAGAGGAGTTTTAAAATAGTCGCGTGGCTTGCTTGTTTTGCACCCAAGGTGGGTGAGTATGAAAATTTCAGTACAGGGGTGACTCTACCTTCATTCGTCGAGTCATCTACGTGCTTGCAGTGACACGAGTTGAGAACCACAAACACTGCACATGCTTGGCACCGACAGCAGGACGGAGGCGGGTGACGGTGTTTTATGATGGCGGTTCCCTTTTCGTAGCAAGGAACAGACAACCTATCTGCAGTTGCACACAGCACTGAACAAGTTGGTGCGCGGAGAGGTTGCTGTCCAACACACTAGTGCAACACACTACGTGCAGACTCTGCACGTAGTGTGTTGGACAGCAACCATGGGATGTATTAACTTGCTCTGCACTGCAGAGCAAGTTAATACATCCCATGGCTTGCCGAAAATGTCGGATGCCTTTGTCGTTCACCATCAACTAAACACGAGCACCTGCAATGAGATGGAATGCCAGTCAAGCCGCAAGACCGATGCATCCAACTGTTGATGTCAAGGTGACATCACCAGCCTCAACGCCTCATGTGCACGTGGTCATATCCATATGCAGGGCCTCCTTTAAGGCTCTCCATATCCACGTCTCCACTGAGCGGAGACGTGGATATGGAGACACGACGTGGATGCGGGCGTGCGCTACACGGAGTCGCCACTGAATAAAATCTGAAAACCGAAAACGCGACCAGCAATGACGCCGCTGCGAGAGGCGTCTTCAAATCACGACCGACGACCAAGCCTTTCCCATCAATCCCCCCCACCCCCCTCACCCACCTCATCCCTCCGCCTCGCCGCCCCCTCGTTCTCCCCGCCACAACCCTCACCATGCAGCGCGAGCACCTCGACAAGGTGCTCTCGAGCTACCAGCACATCGGCAACGTCGTGTACGACATGACCACGTCCTCCTCCGCGCGCGACGCCCACTCCCTCCTTCGCTGGTTCCTGCTGGACATGCCCATCGTCCCGTTCCTGCTCGCCTTCCACTGCACCTTCGCCGCGCTCAACATCCACCGCGTGACGAGCGGCCGCCAGTTCTGGCTCAAGGTACGTCCCGCACTCCCCCACTCCCCGCACGAGTCCCGCCCTCCGCGCCGCACTTGACTCGCGTCCTCGCCGCTCCCGAGCCTTGCCACCGGCGCAGACCCTCGTCCTGACGGCCTCTCTCCACCGCGCTCTTCCCACGCGCGCAGACGCTCGTGCTGACGACCTTCGCGGCCTTCGGCGGCTCGACGCTGGCCAACGTCCTGTCGGGCCAGCCGGCGCCGCTGTTCACCGTGTCGTCCAACTACATGATGAGCTACGTCACGATCGCGTGGTACGTCATCAACCACAGCCGCGCGGCTCGCGCGGTGCTGTCCTTCCGGCCCGTGCTGGCGGTGCTGGCGTTCGGCGCGACGGCGGCCAAGGTGCGCTCCATCCTGTCGTTCATGGACGGCTTTGTGGTGCGCTTCCCCGACGCCGTGCTCGGCGCCGTCGTGCTCAGCGGGCTCGCCGGGTCGGGCGGCGCGCTCTTCGTCACCCTGGAGAAGATCGTGCAGGACGGCCTGCAGACGTCGTCCGACTTCTCCAACCCCGGTTGGAGCTTTAAGAGCGCGTACCTGGCGGCCTGCGTCTACTACGTGGCCACGGACCCTGTGGGGTGGATCGCGGCGCATGCGCCGTTTGCAACTGTCACGTTCGACAAGGAGGAAGTGCGATTTGCCGTTTCCCTCGCGCTTTGCACGCACGCCGCGTTTGACACGCTGTATGGGAGGCACGTTAATCCCTTGTACCTCGTTGAGGAGGTGCTGTGCGCGCTCACAGGGGTGAGGAAACCGATAATGGTGGAGCAGGTGCCGACCAGCTTGATCAGCTCAGATCGGAAGGAATATGCTGGCAAGAAGGACGGAGGAGCGAGAAAAGGGAAGCAAGGCGAGGGGCTTCGATCACGGAAGGATAAAGCGCGCGTGCATTGATGGAGTTGTCTCACCCTCGGGGGTGAGATGCACTGCTTTCAAGAAAGCTTAGTCCTCCACGGGCGAGCGAAGGAGGAGGCTTCTGTGAAAATAACTTGACGACAAGTACAGGACGCCATTTTGGGAGCGAAAAGTAAAAACGCAGTCGCTGCTTCCAAATCCCGACCACACTTTGACAAGTTTGGAATGGATCCTCCCTCATTGTCACGTGCCCTGCGTCAATTAGTCAAAAATAGAAGGACTACCTCGTCCTCTCATAGCATCGCTGAGTTTCGATCTCAGGACCGCTGGGTTATGGGCCCAGCACGCTAACCACTGCGCCACGATGCTTGCTTGAGATGAATAAATGCTCTTTTCATTAATACTTATAGACATGAAAAATATGTATGCACGCGTCCGCGTGGACACGTGGACACGTGGACACATATGACGACGAAGAAGAAGACAACGTCATCGCTCAGGTCCCCTGCATTGCCGCATACGCTCCACGCGACAGTGGTACCGCCATGTGCGTTCGGGGCAAGCATCTGGAGCACAACCAGCCTTGATAATTCGCGCACGACACCGCCCTCGCCTCCTCGCCCTGCTGAAGCTGTTCCGGCCTCCCCCACCCCGGTCCCCCCGCCCACGCCGCGAGCCTGGGCGACTGTTGCAGCCGCCCAACCCCGTCCTACTCCTCGCTCCATCCCCCCTGCTGTCCATGCAAATGCTGCGAGCGCCGCGCTACCTCCCACTTTCTTTCAACTGCCTTTATCTTCCACTTCTCCGTTTCTCGCGCCTCGCCCCCTCAAATTACCACGTGTCCAGGCCCGCCCCAGCTCTTCCGTCCCCACTCTCGCGGCTGCCCGTGCGGCACTCGCAGACTCATCGTCAGTCTCGCGAGCCACACTCGCTGAAGCTCGCACCCTGGTCCACACCGTTGGCAATCCGATCCGCCTCGACCCCCGCACCGGCAAACCCGTCGCCCCCCTCCCCCCCCTCCTCGCCCACTTCCGCCTCGTCTACCTCCGCCTCGTCTACGAGGACCTCGCCGTCCACACCGCCCCCCTCCCTCCTACCGCTTCCGCTCTCGACTCCTTCGCCGCCGCCGGCGTTGCCTGCCTCCTACGCCGCGAGGCGTGGTTGACGGGACAGGTCCAACCAAGAACACCTGGAAGATTTACTGCATATGCGCTTGCAGGTGGTACCTGCAACAGTCCCCATTGTCCATTGCGCGTCCACCCGTGAGGCCCATCATAGTCGACTCGGCGCATGTGTCTATGACACGTCCAGTATTTGTCCCTTGGTGGTCCACGTGCCCCCTGTACGGTCCAGAAACGGTCCAGATGTGGTCCACCAACGAACATAAACTCCACGCAGGTATGGCGGGGAAGTAAAACCTCAGACTTTTGCAAATGTGTCTGAAGATCACGTTTACCTTGGTCGCCGCCTGACGATCTTGTTTCAGGGGGAAGACTTTTACATCTTCTTCGGCGGCTTTGTTCAGGTCCACCCGCCCAAATACGGCCTTTTTCACGTTCAAGTAAATTAGTCGACACGCCGCACACTTAATAGCGCCTTCAGGAACGGGTCGTCTACTTGTACCTGTACTGGCTTTGGAAGGCAGAGCATCGAAACAGCAACCCGCTGTCTCGTGCTCAAACCAGTCCCCGCCCCTGTTATACCTATACCCCATGTACATTGGGCATCCTTAATAACTGGCAAGCCCTTTATGCTCGCCTCTAGCCGCCGCCCTACATCATTGTAGGGCTGCGAATCTACCCGCACGAGCCGCTGGCACCCCCTGTTTATTGAGGCGCCTCTCCGTGGACGGTTCATTGCCTCGCACCCTGCCTATTCGCTAGGCGGGTGCTTCTGCGGACATGTGCTAGGCCTGCGGCTTTCGCTTGCAAGGCCTGGGGAGGCACGCCATACTCTATAGAGAGTTCCCGCACCAAACGGGTCCCTTCGCTTGCTAGCTGCCCGGCCCTGGGGAAATCGTCCCCCTCGTCTTCGAGCACGCTACTGGCAGCTTCTATCAGGACCGACAAGAGGCGTCCCGGTTCATTAGACACGATGCTGGTGCCGTGTACAGAGGGGCGCCCACTTAGCTCATCTCATCCCTGACAGTCTCGAGGAACTGACGAGCGCTTGCAGTCACGACAGCAACCGGCGGCCCACCCTTCGCGGGCGCCTCTGCTGCTGCCTGAGCCACTCCTGCCCTCCTCGATGTGTCATGCGGGGGCACTGCCGTGGGTCTCCTGCTGAGACGCCACTGCAGCGGTAGCCTCAGGCCCAGAGCCCCCCGGCCATCAGTCCACGACCACGTCCGGTACCAGGTCCTCTTCCGGCTCCTGGCCCAGAATGCCCTCGACCGCATGACGGTTGAAACCGTTGAGCCTGTCCATCATTTCATCGTTGTCTAGGCCCTCCCTTAGCACTCCTGGCTCCATCCGACCCGCAACGAATACTGCCCTCCTCAGGCCGCGTTCTCCCGTGAAAGACTTTCTACAGAGGGCGGCCCTCACCTGTGGCTCCAGGCAGGTACACCATATCTTGACAGTGTCATTAGCCTGTGGCAGTCTGTCCACCAGCACCATGTCATGCATAGGCATCATACCCCTCGAACGCTTGTAGCTTATGACTACACCGATTTTTTCGTCACTCGGAGCGGCCATATGGGGAGGGTAGATACCGGAGGAGTCTACTATCCAAGCGATAGAGGCCAGAGAATCCTCAGCTCCCTCAATGGCCGTGCCTGGGAACATCACGCCCTTACGGAGGACGCTGGACCCCACTACTCTCCCCAGTACTGAGTCGCTCATGGTGACCTTCATCAGCGCCATGCCGTCGTGCCGATTTGCGTTAGGTGAGTAGATATAAGAGTACCCGCAGTCGCGGGGCCTCTCCCATTTCGATGCGACACAAATGCTGTCCGATCTGTCGTGAAACACCGCTTCCTCCCCGAACATCGGTAGTTCGGAAGCGTTGTCGAAACTGCTTCCAACAACCTTGCATACAGTGTTACTCCGCACTTCATTCGAGCTGCTGGCGAGGATAGGGGACGGTTCAATCCAGTACGGGATGTAGACACCGTCGTTATCCAGGTGCCTATTAACCACACACCTGAACACCTTCTCCTGCGAACCACAAAACCATGCGGCCACTGTCTCGACGCCTCCACCATCGAGCTTGTTCCCCGAACATAGCTTCTTGAACCACACCCGAGCCAGAGGTCCCATCTGGGCTCCCAGCTGCGAGTAGTGTTTCTTCCACGTTGTCCCTGCTGGGCGGTAGCTCACCCAAGGGACCTTGCTGTCGGTTCCCACACCCGAATCGCTTACTGCAAACAGGGCTGCCGTCGTAAGCAGCATTGTGTCTACGCTGTGCACTTACGATCTGACGTTGTGCCGTCCGCCCACCGACATGGGAAGCTGTACGCATGGCGGGGGTGAGCCGCTGATAATGCCGCTTGGAGTCGGGAGCTCAACCCCTCGCATGACGTCACGCATGTAATTCCCATCGTCAGTATGGGCCACAACGGACGTAATGTCGTGTAGTCCAATGACAAAAGCGGCCAGATGCGCACCGCCAACACCTGAGAGTTCGGCAGAATCTATGATCAGCCTCACAGCCTTGAAAGAGGCGTCTAGCGCCCCTGCACGCCGGGGTAAGCAGACCTTCCACCTATTCTGGCTCACGTACACACTACCAGTGTACACTTCGGCACCGCACCCCCTTGCAGCATAGAGTATAACGCCGAGGAGATCCTCGTTCTGATTGGAGCCCTGCTTCATCGTTATGTAGACTCCAGCGTTGTCAAAATGCATCCCAGAAGAGACTAGCTCCCCCGCAGACAATTCCGCCCCGCCTAGCAGGCACGACGTTGGCACGTGACCAAAACCTGAAGTGCTTTTGGCGATGAATTGCCCCAAACGGCGGCATACTGCAGTCATGTCGAAAGAAGTGCCCACCGTGGGCACGAAATCTGTTGACTTGACTGTGTGTGAAGCTAAGACCCCGACATGTGCATCGGAATAGTGCCCACACCTGGTGGCCATGTACGTAGGCGTCCCCGCGTCGAACTTACCAGCCCGGGACGCAACCGTGCTGATGCGGTACTTGACAGTCGACCTCCCCCTTGCGGGATGAGTCAAGCCTGTGGCTTCAGCGAGCACAGCGGCACTATACGATCGCACCACAGTACGGTTCCGCCCAGCACCAGTAGCGACATCCGGAGCAGCTTTACTGATCCGGGAGCTGAAGATATTCTTCGCACCTGCGTTGACGTCCATCGTCGGCAATTTCAGTTTGGGACGCTGTCCGCTGCGTGAAGCTTTCAGTTTGCGACTCTGTGGACAGCGTCCTTTAAATCATTATTTATATAACTAACACGAAGGGACATTCCCGACGTTGTCCGTAAAGTCACAAAAACGCGTGTTTTGGCGGCGTATGGCAAAACTCACAGCATACCGAAAACTCGGGGCATGCGAGTTTTCCACGAGTTTCACATCGAGTTTCACATCTGCCTGATCGCAGCAGTGCCGGATCGACCCGTCGTGAAGAAAAACGAAGTGGGTCTTCCGTCCTTTCCATCAGCACAAACGAGTCCCAGACTGCACGGGTGGCAGCGATATACGTCATGGACGCCCCTATCGCTTCATCTGCGCAGAGTCCATCAAATGGATCAAAGCGCGACAGGATCTGCCACAGATGCCGCCGAAGCAACCGCGAAAGATAGACAAGTAGAAGCATCTAAGAAGTGGTCCTCTCCAAACGGCCCCCCTCAGGCTGAAAAAAGCATTTCCAATAATTTTTTTCAACCCGTGTCAAGAACTCGGGTTTACTTTGCGTGGAAAAAACCCGAAAAAAACAACGCGTTAGTTATATAAATAAATATCGATCGGTAAACGTGTCTGACTCGCCGCCTCGTGGTGCTCAGCGAGCAATGAGAGGCGCGTAATCCTCTCGAGACAGTAATGACCTACACCAAACGTGGACAGTCACCCGCAATCAACGTGTGATTCCGTAATTCCCCGACTGCACTCCGTTAGTGTGTGTACAAGTAGTTTCTGCTCACGTTCCTCTGCATCTTCGTTAAAAGCTGGCAACGCCCAGTGCAATAAAACAATTTAATGCAAGCCTAAGCCTACCTGCGATCCCCCTTCATTCCGCCTCGCCTTTCATTTTAAAAGCAATCCGCCTAATCCACCATCTAAACCTTCTCGCCCTGTCAAATCGTCTCTTCTTGTGGTAACCCCCAAAGTCGTCTTCAAACGCATCAACGTAACGCCCCTCCTGGTTCTGCTTCAAAGGCTTCCTCTTATCCCCATCCTCATGCCCGTCCGAACTTCTCACCACCCCGCTTGCGTCGAACCTATCTTCCATTTGCTCCTCCGCCTCATGCCCATACCTGTGCCCCCTGCCCCTATACCCAAACCTCCCTCTCGACCGCCGCGCCCCGCTCACTTGCGTCCTCCTTGGCTTATGCGCCACAGGGCTCGTCGTCTCCCCCGAAAAGAACATGCGCACCAGCTTCGAGCTCACATCCTGCGCCTCATTCCTCGGCGAGAACACATCCGCGTGCCGCATATCCGCCGCCTGCCGCGTCTCCACCGCCGCCGCCGCCGACACGGCCCGTGTTCGATTGCTATCCCATCTCGGCCTGTGCCGCTCCCTGTCCCTGGCCCTCTCGCGCTCCTTCTGCTTGACGACGCGCTCGGCATTGTCCACGTCGCGGTGCACCAGCCACATGTCCGACGCGACGTACGACGTGGTGGAGTACGACGCGGGCTCGGACAGGATGGAGTCTGCATCCGAGTCATGCGGGGCGACCATGAAGCTGAGCTTGGACAGGTGGCGCCTGGTGCGTGCCGTGATGGTGGCGGGCGTGCGGGAGACGGCGGCGGCGGCGGCGCGCAGGGAGCCGGATCGCGAGCGCTCGCGCGGGCCCGGGTGCCGCGCGGGCGCGTGCAGCTGGGCGAAGGAGCCGGCGTCGGAGGCGAGCGGGATGGACAGGCACGAGTCGTCGTGGTCCGTGGGCGGGTCGACGTCATAGCGGCGCAGGAAGTCGTAGGGGTCGTCGGTCGGGTCCGAGGAGAGGGAGGAGGTCTGCACGCTGGCGGCCGCGGCCTCCGCGGGCGACTGCAGCCACTCGGTCGGGCGGTGTGTGCCGAAGGACGGCAGGTCGTCCAGATGCGTGAAGAAAGGGGACTTCGTCGACGGCGAGGCAGAGATGACGGCGGGCGGAGCCGGGAGCTTGGGACCGCCGGCGGATGCGCGCGTGGATGTGGTGGAGTTGGTGACCACTGAGGACATTGCGAGTTGGGGTCGGGGTGCGACCGAGAAGGATGCGGCGAGGGGTGGGGCGGGGGCGGGGAGGGGGGGTGATAGCGGCAAGATGGATACAGTGGGAGGAGAAAATATTTTGGGGAGATGGGAGGTTTGGTTTGGGTAAAAGGAGGGGGGGAGGAAGGGGGAGGAAGGTGGGGGGGGGGCTTGTACGATAGGGTTGATTAAGGAAATGATAAGGTGCAGACAAAACGTGGGAGGCGCGGAAGAAGGTTTAACAGGGTCTCGAGGTGAGTGTGTTGTGCCTGGCGGATGGGCGGCAGATGGCGCAGAGAGGGGCGCAGAGAGAGGGTGATGGGGCGGCATAAGAGGGTCATACAAGGGGTGAAAAACGAATAAAATCAGGGTTGAATTGAGAGAGAGGAGGTAAGCCGACACGTATGTGTATCACGAGCCCGGTGCTGAGCTCGAGGAGACGCCAGCGGAATACACCGAATGTCCGAAGATCGTGAATTTCCTTATATTTTCTCGCCTGTCGACGCAGCAAGGTAAGTGGCTCTCCCCAATGTCAGCCCTCCGGACCCAGTGCTTGGCACCTTTCCATTCGCGGGTTTCATATGATATACCTGTACTGTACCCCCCCCGCGTATTGGACGTACGGAACCCCACGGCCCACTCCGACCCACCACGAGTCACCACGAGTCACTCACTGCAAGGATATCTTCTTGAGGGCCAGTCCATCCTCCATGCATGCATACATACTGTACCTTGTACCCATTTTGCATACATACATGTGTTCGAGGATGTGCGTCGCACGAGGTTTTATCATAACTTGTTTCATGAAACGCCATAATTAATAGGCCTCTTCACTGTGTTCCAACTACAGTACCTGTATTCCTTTTGGGAACAAGTCGGATATGTTTTTTTCTGGCGCCCGTTGGAAAGTTTCTCCTCCCGAAGCTCCCACTGCCACTCAATTCGGCAAGAAAGCGAATCTCCAACCCACGATTCCTCGGGTTCTGCCGCAAAGTTCTCTCTACTGTACACACAATTTCTATTCAGTTTTAAATCTTAAAACCGCATGTAAAATAACTTCACCTTTCGTGGCTTGAGCATCACCCTCCCCGTGCCGTAACTTTAGTGTCCATCGGACCGTTGTTTCCAGGTGAGGACACTTTTCCACTCATTTCTTCATAACTTACGCTTTCTCGACGACAACGAGAAAGATATCCCCTCTACCTTACTTGATTTAGGCCTTGTGGTCATAAACCAACTTTTGTGAGAAATGCATGTTCTTCCTGGTCGCTTTTACACATGTCTGGAAAAGAAGCTTTTTAAACCCATCTGAAAACCGCATGTAAGATAACTTCGAAACCAAAAACAACAGTCTAAAAAAGCAGTCACTGTAGGCATTCAATCTGCATTACAGAGGGGACGCCCGTTAGTGCCGCTTTTACAAGTGGGTACTGCAACGAGCTCCCAGCTCGTAATCATGCAGTGCAGGTAGTCATTCAAGTCGGCTAGAAGCGGCGGCCGGTTGCTGTCCCCGGCGAGAATTTCGGCGACAGTAGGGCCGCACACCTTAGTTTTTATTCATGATTATAACTGTAAGTGTAGACTTCACCTCCTTGTAAGGACTGGCTTGGGGGCCTCCCCTCAGGGGAAAAGGGGGGTCGGCCTTCCGAATAAAGGAAGTTTGGACTTTCTTGCAGTGGTAGCATCGCAAATCCAAAACGTCCAAATGGAACCAGCTGCCGCTCCCGCCGGGTCAATCACTCTCAGGCCGAACAAGCGAGGGACTTTCCCGTCGTCAATACATGGATATAGAAGGTAGAGCAATACCTTCTATTGGGCCAGTTGAGCAATCCCGCTGCACCAATGAATGATGGTACACGCATCAGCTACGCTTCCAGCTTTCTTAGCGGAACGGCAGCTGTGTGGTGGTACACGATGGTAAACACCAACCAGATCCCTACTAGTTGGGATGCATTTAAGGCCGCTGTCGTCTCGGAGTTCGTATCCGAGGATCACGTCCGTAGGGTACGGGACAGGCTTCGAAGACTGAAACAAGTTTCGTCAGTTTCGAAATATTTGTCTGAGTTCCGGAACATCGTGATGACTATCCCGGACATTTTAGATGGGGAGAAGTGGGACAAGTTCTGCACTGGACTGAAGTACGACGTTCGTCTGGAGGTTCTCAAGACGGCTGTTACCACTTTCGATGACGCCGCCAAGATTGCACTGAGGGTGGATCGTGCAATCTGGAGTGTGCATGTCCCGAAAGCGAATGAAGGAGCTGGGAGCTCCAGTGATCCCACTCCTATGGAAATTGGAAACATGGAGAAGCGCCGTGGGCAGAACGATGCTCAGCGCTTAGCTGATTTTCGAAATAATGGGTGCTTCAAGTGCCATAAGGCCGGGTGCCGTCCATAGAAGCACACGGAGAAGAAGCCGGTTGCCAACAACTTGGCCGTTTGGACGCCGCAAAGTGAGCAGACTACCGAGGAGCACAGCAGTGACTCGGAAAACTAGACGGTCCTTCATATATCAGTAAAAGCACTCTCGAAGGACTATTAAAAAGAGTGCGTCAGGCCTCCCTTGATGGCTGTCTAACAGACGTAGAAACTAACACCGCGCAGTCAACAACTGATGGCATTATACCAGTTGAAGACCTCATTATCTTTGAGGGGGAGATGCACGGCCAAGTTGTCGAGATCCTGAAGGATGATGGGTGCAATACCAACGTAGTCTCCAAAGATTTTGCACGGAGAAATGCTCATCTCTTCCAGTTGGAAGAGGCAGACCTCATCATCACTCACTCGAAACGTAATTCAAAAGAGAAGTCTGGGCAGGTTATTGTCCAGGCGGAAGTTAAGGTAGGCTTGCATTCCTACACCTCTAACTGGGCTGTTGTTGACTGTCGCTGCGATGTGCTACTTGGTATGCCGTGGCACAAAGAAAACAAACCTGAGGTGGACTACAGTATTCCACCGGTCTCCGTCGGAAGAAACCTTTACAGCTAAAAAAGTTCTTAGGGGAGTATATCGGCCTGGACCCGGGTCCAATCTGGGGAACAAATTTGGTAGTTAATCGTTTCCGTCGCCTCTTTCGGAACAAACGCAAACGTAAGAATTTCCAAGTGTATCAACTTGTAGAGAAGGAGCGTCTCTGGGCATACTTGGGAATGAGCAAGGAATCTCAGCGATACCCGGAACCGGCAAGAAACTCCTCGACAAGTACCATTCTGTTTTCAAGTAGATGCTGCCTTCTGGACTACCCCCTGAGCGTGCCGTTGGACCACGCTATTGAAATAGACCAAACAGTGAGGCTACCTTTACGTCCCTTGTACCAGCTCTCACCTGCCGAACTCGCCGCCGTAAAGGAATATTTGGTGGACCAACTCAAGAACGGGAAAATACGAAGGAGCAAATCTCCTTTTGGAGCTTCGCTATTTTTTGTCAAGGGCAAGGGAAGCCTGCGCGCTGTTGTCGACTACAGAGCGTTGAATCGCTTGACGAAACGAAATAACACACCATTGCCTCGTTCTAATGAGATGTTTGACAGGCTGGGCGAATCATGTGTGTTCTCCAAGCTGGACTTGAAAACAGGATTTCACCAGATCAGAATGTGCCCGGGGGACATTGAGAAGACAGCATTTAATACCAAATATGGACAATTAGAGTATCTTTTCATGCCTATGGGGCTGTGTAATGCCCCAGCCACTTTTCAAAATTTGATGAACCGCATTTTCTACGCGTAGAAAATGCGGTTCATCAGTCGCGACTGTATTGAGGTTTTTATGGTCGTGTATATGGACGACTTGCTCGTGTTCAGCAAGAACGAGCAGGAGCTCTTAAAACATTTGGAAACGGTGTTGTCTCAACTTCAAGCAGAGGAATTGTATGTTTCCCCCAAGAATTGAGCGTTTATGAGGGAAGAAACGACATTTTTGGGAATGATCGTCGGACGGAGAGGTATCCGCGTTAACCCGGAGAAAATAGAGGTCGTGACAACATGGCCGCGACCTACCTCGCTCACCGAACTGCGCAGCTTTATTGGGCTTCTGCAATTCTTTCGCAGATTCATACGGGAATTCTCTGAGATTGCTGCACCTCTCACGTCACTCACCGAGAAGGAGATGGGTATACACAAGTGGGATAGAGAATGTGAGGAGGCCTTTGAGAGTTTGAAGGCGGCCATCACAACCGCTCCAGTATTGATTGCACCCAGTTGGGCGAAGCCTTTTCGCTGCCATGTGGATGCGTCGCAGCGTGCGGTCGGGGGGACATTGACCTAGATCAACGAGAACGGAGTTGATCCCGTAATAGCATACTTTTCGAAAAATCTGTCGAAAGCTGAGGAGGACTATACAGCTAACGAGAGGGAGTTGTTAGCTCTGGTATACTTCCTCAAACGATTTCAGTGGTATCTCGAGGGTCCTAACTTTGAAGTATTTACTGACAATCAAGTACTGCATCACTTTTTCACGAAGCCGAGCATGAACAGAAAGGAAGCGAGGTGGCTGGACTTGCTCTCTCAATTTGGAATCCAAAAGGTCACATTGAAACCGGGCCGTGTTCATGTTTTGGGAGATGTTCTCTCACGGGCACCGCATATATCACGGCAAGAGGCTGTCACGGTGAGCAATATGCAGCTGTCCACGTTGAAGCTGGACCTGGATTTTAGTGGGAAGTATGACCGCGACCAGTTCTTCAGACCGATCATGAATGCCCTCCGGGGGGGAGTTTCCAGAAGAGCGTGTGCAGCGTGACAAGATCACCCGCCTTCTTCCCTTATTTCGCCAACAGGATGGCATCCTGTTCTATCAGGAGAAGGTTTGTGTACCCAGAAGCCTCATCCGGGATGTACTCCACTTGGCCCACGACACCAAGGTCTCCGGCCACTTTGCATTTTCTAAGACACTCTCACGGCTGGACGGATACCATTGGAAAAATAAGACACGAGATGTAAAGCTGTATTGCAAGGGATTTTTGAAGTGCTAGCAACAAAAGGACGCACCGGGTAAGAAGTACACTGTACCCACTCCGTTGAATGTTCCATTGCGTCAGTGGGGTTCGTTGGGAACGGATTTTATTGTTAGCCTGCCGAAAACAAAAAAGGGGTTTGACACGATAACCACATGGGTAGATCGACTTTCACGTCGAGTTCACTTTATCCCATCACGAGGTACCGACACGGCCCTAGATACGGCTGGCAATTTCTTCAGCGAAGTTTTTAAGCATCACGGGTTGCCTGACAGCATTGTGAGTGACCGGGATCCGAAATTTACCTCGAAGTTCTGGACCCATCTGATGAAACTGTGCGGTATCCGGCCGGATACCGCCGGATATGCGTCCGGACGCAAATGTCAACGAGCAATCACCCGCAGACGGATGGAGCGTCGGAAGATATGAACCGCATGATAGAGAACTACCTCCGCTGCTATTGCTCCTACCGCCAAGATGATTGGGACGCATTGCTTCCTGCTGCGGAGTTCGCGTACAATTCAGCAGTCTCCCACGACCTAGGAAGCAGCCCATTTGAAGTTGATATAGGCTGGAATCCCAGCTCCCCGGTGGGCCTCTTTCGCATGGATACTTCCATTGAAAGTGTCAATGATCTTAAGAAACGCCTGTCCTCGGCGCTCGTGGATGCTCGTTTTTCTCGCACCACCTCGCAAAGGCGCGCCAGAGTGCGTATACAGCACGGAAGTACCGTCCCGCGAACTACAAAGTGGGCGGAAAAGTATGGGTTCACAAGACGCTATTCCGTGACGCTGTATCACGAGCGCAGCTATCGGAAAAATTAGGAGCGAAGCGATTCGGTCCGTTTGAGATTGTGAAGCTCATTGGACCCAACGCTGTCCGCCTAAAACTTCCTCAGAATGTCCGCATTCATCCAGTGGTCCATGTAGTCCACACTGCCCGATTTTTACCCAGCCTTCAGATGTCAGTCAACCTGTTGCCCCCCGTCCCGCACCTGTTCCCAGTTCTACTGGCCCGCAGTACGTCGTGGACACCATACTCTCCCATCGCAAACGGGGGCGCGGATATCAGTGGTTGACTTTAACGGAAGGGGCGCCTCAGCATGAGGCCCAGTGGCAGCCCAAACGCGACTTTTTGGATGCTGATGGCACTTTGACGGCAGCTTTTCACGAATATATCGTCCGACATAACCTCCTGCCCCATCTTCATAAAGAAATCGATGTTGAAATTGACGTGGACGTCAATTACGCGGAGGTGGGAATATTGCAACGAGCTCCCAGCTCGTAATCATGCAGTGCGGGCAGTCATTCAAGTCGGGTAGAAGCGGCGGCCGGTCGCTGTCCCCGGCGAGAATTTTGGCGACAGTAGGGCCGCACCTTAGTTTTTATTCATGATTATAACTGTAAGTGTAGACTTCACCTCCTTATAAGGACTGGCTTGGGGGCCTCTCCTCAGGGGAAAAGGGGGGGGTCGACCTTCGGAATAAAGGACATTTGGACTTTGTTGCAGGTACCCCCTTGAACTGAACAGGCCCCCCACAACTGAACAACCAAAAAATAGCAAAATTGATCCAAGATGAGCAATTTTGCCTTCTTTCACATGCACAACGTCAGTTCTTCGGCAGTATTCCCGCCGCTGTTCTGCAACATCGCTTAAAAATAAATATAATTCTGATAAACGTGTTTAGCACCTTTTCTTCCTGCGGGACAGATACTGTTGTAATTTGAACGTGACAGAAGCCCGCCAAAAAGAGTTGAAGAGCGGTAACGACGGAATCCAATCTAAACATGCGTGGAGCCGCATTCATTCTTCCCACCGAGTCCCAAGATGACCAAAAAGATATCTGATATCTCCAAGCGGAACGAACACTTCGGTAAATCTTCACAGGCCCTCTCGACGGGAGCAATGATGCATGAAGCTGCTCAAATTGCACCACTTCCCCTATCAACATTTCATTGCCGACTGAAGAAGCAGTCTCGATCCCCTATTCCACGCGCATGGCTCTCATTTACGGAGGAGCAAGTAATTATCCAACTTATTGCTCGCTTTTCTGATCGCAGATACAGCATGAGACGCGAAGATGTTGCTCTAGCACTTATAGACATGGTGCAGGCCTTCCGAATTGCTCTTCAAAACAAACTGCCTTTTGTAAATGGCAAACCTGGAAAACGTTTTTACGTCTTTTTCGCGGTGACACAACACTGCAATCAAGTTTAGTAGGGCTTTGAAGCAATAGCAGGCTCGCTGGCGAGCTACAAACGCTGAAAACCTCACGAATGATCAGCTGAGAGACAATCACCTCAATTCAAAAATGCAAAACGCATCATTATAGTGTTTACGCAACTAAGTTTCAG